ACATAACATAACATAACATAACATAACATAACATAACATAACATAACATAACATAACATAACATAACATAACATAACAGCACAATATAGTTTGGTGTAGTATAAACTGCGTATAGTATAGTATAGTATAGTATAGTATAGTATAGTATAGTATAGTATAGTATAGTATAGTATAGTATAGTACCTATTGTACAGAAAGTACAGTCATCTGTAAAACCACAAACAGATGTAAGGATTGACCAATAGAGATGATTTATGTAAAAACTGTCTATCACATGTATATTTTTGATTTAAACTCCTGATTTGTTGCTTCCAGTCAGCTTGTGCTTTAATAACAAAGGCACACGTTATATAAAATGTTTAAATGAAGTCTTGTTAAAGTGAATGACTTCAGAATAAATCTGGTCTGCAACTGAAGCAATCGCTCTTGATCATGTCGTCTCCTAACTTTAAATTGAGACAAATCTGAATCACAGTTGGTTCAGAACTGAAACATATGGAGAAACCACCTGTTGGACAGGTAACACACTAACAGCATGATCTAAACATGCTGATGATTACTGCACATCAGATAAATTACTACCTCAGTTTGTCATAACTATGTGCGACAAAATACCTTTTTTATTAGACTTCGAAAACCAAAATTAAATTAGAAAATGAACAGTTGTTCCTCCATCAACCCGACTTGAACCAGAGAGGTCACCTGTGCAGGTGAACCCTGCCCCTACAGCAATGCATGATGGGATGCTCCTCAATTTAATTTGGATCAAACCTGCTGATTGGCTGACGGTAACACAAACAGAACAGAAGATTTAAGGATGAAAAAGTTGATTTATTTTGTGTTTTTGTTTTGTTTGGGGACTGGACTTTGTTCATAAGTGCAGCAGACGTGTTTTGTAGTGTTTTAGTGGTAGTAGGGGCAGCCCCTCCCCTCTGTCTGTCTCTATAAATCTGAGTGTTTGAAGGAGGAGCTGCAGCTCTTCAGCTGTGTTCCTTCCGTTCAGCAGAGGAAGTGTCAAACAGCAGCATGCTGCCACAGTGAGTAATCATCATTTTACTGCTTAATAATATGGTGCAGATTATTCTTATACTGAACTTTAGTGTCATCTTTAAGGTGCTTCTTGCTTGTGCTATTAATTTTAAAACTGCCATGTATTTATTATTTGATTATTTTATTAATAATTAGAAATAATATTTGTCTTTAAATTGTTCATTGTTCTTATTAGGTTTGTTGTTTCCAATAACTGCACAAGTCTTCTTTTTAAAGCCCTGATTTTGCTGCAAAATACAAATAATTTGCTTCATGTAGTACACTGTAAAAATGAAACGTTGGATTTACTTATGTTACCTGGTTCCACTAAACTGAGTTGAGTAAATTCAAAGCAACATACTCATGTTCTTTGGCTAAAAAACTGGTATATTGCCTTGAATTTACTCAACTCAGTTAAGTGGAACCAGGTAACATAACATGGTTAAGTAAATCCAACATTTCATTTTTACAGTGTATTAGTGAGTTATCTGAGTTTGTTGATATATAATTTTTGTATAGTAAAACATAAATCTCTCGATTGTACAAAAACATTATTTATCTTTTCAGCATCATAATTTAGTGCTTCTTCCTGATTGGACATGCATTGTGATTGATTGACAGGCCTTTTGACCAATCAGATCACCTCTGATGAGAGTTCAGAACCATCTGAAGTACAACAAAATGAAGATTATTTTGATAGATTATATTGAATATTATTGTTACACAGAAGTGAAACATAGAGTTTTGATTTTCACTTTTTGTTGATGATAATGAGCAGAAAGCRATTAATGTCACGACTCAGTATTAATAAATAACTGTGCATCTGTTCCATAAAACAGAAATCTTCTCATAGTTTCAATCGTCGTCCTTCTTGTAACGACAGTTTCTGCGGCTCCTCTTGAAGGTAAACATATTTTCTGAAACTGATCTTATTTTTTATTTATTTATTTTTCCCCTGGGGACATAAAAGTTTCTGTTGTGTCTTGCAGAGAAGGAGCAGGAGGAGGTGGAGGTTGAGGTCACAGAAATGCTGGAAGGGGAGGTGTCTGAGGAGGAGGAGGGTAGGCCTGTGTGTGCGAGAGAGAAACCTGCTTTTATTTTGAAAGGGCATCATCTTTTTCTACATCAAAAGCTAGTTTTATTCAGCACAAAATCAAAACGGAAATTAAAGCAAATCTATTCAACATAAATTTCTCGTAATGATGAGATGTTTTTAAGTT